AAATGCTAATTTTGGGCAACAAGTGTGAAGGTCAGAATAACGATGCAGCTCCCGGGACACAGGTGACTCTGGAAATGTTCCAGTTCTGAAGCAATAACGATGTGTCCCCACTGCAACGGTGACCCTCGTAAACCAAAGTCCACGTTTTATTGATTTTGTTTCTGATTTTACTGTCACCATGGCCTTGTGGGGAAAAGAAGGGCCACGGCCAGTCCCCAAACTGCAAAACCCACGGTCACCGTTGCCTCTCCCCTCTTCCTCCCGCTCCTTCAAAATAGCTCTTATTTCCACTTCTTCCTAGTCCCACTGTCGCTGTCTTAGGCCAGATCCTCTCTGTCGTGTTTCAGTTGCTAACATCGCCTCCTACTGCGTCTGCCATCTGGGTTCCCCCCTCCGTGTCAGGATCACCTGCTGGAGGAATCTCTCCGTCCCTCCCGGTTGCCACCACTGGTCAAGCCTGAGAGCTAACTTGCTCTGCCCTCCAATCCACCCCGTTCGCTCCGGCAGAGGAGTCATCGCCTTAAAACACCAGCTGCAGGACGCCTCCCCGCCCGAAAGCCTGTGCAGCAGCCCCGGGCCCCGCCCTGCGCCGGCCCTTCCTCTGCTCCTGGCCTGGCCCCCTTATTCCCTGATCCAGGGACTCTCCTCACCTCCACGCCTTCCCTAACTACTCAGCCAAGCCCTGCCTGTCTCTCAAACTCCATGTTCTCTTTGAAGCTTCAACAGACATGAAATCTGCCCCTCCAGGGACCTCTCCATTCCACTGCGCTGCTGTCCCTGTCAGTCATTCTGGAACTTCCTTATGTAAACAGTTTCTGGAGCAGTCTCAGCATGTGGCCCTTTTCCTATCCCTTAATGTCTCTGGCAGACTCCACAATGTTATAGTCACTTTCGATGACTAAAATTTAGTCTAAAAAAAATTACAAGATACACACACACACACACACACACACACACAGAGGAATTCAGTGTAATCCAGTCTAAAGCTCTGGGTGCCCCCCTGGTTCAAAGCTCTTCTACGCCCCTCAGCCAGGCCAGAGCTCAGACCCAGCCTTGGGGTGGGAGAGGTGGCGCTGAGGTGAGGGGGAGGTTAGGGGAGCTGGAGGGAGGGGCAGCAAGAATCCTGGTCCAGCACCGAGAAAATGCTCCCTCTTTTTCCAAGGCTGAGCAGTGACTGTCCCAAGACTTGGCTCTAGCAGGTAACTGGAGCCCCCCCCCATAGCGGTGAGCTTCTGTTCCCCAGCCTCCTGGGCTACGAACACCTGGGATGGGGCAGGGAGGTTCTATCTCTTCCCAGGTACCTTAGACCAGGGACAATTCCAATACCTTCAGAATTCAATTTTGCCTTCAAAAATCTCTAGACCAGGCCGGGCGCGGTGGCTCACGCCTGTAATCCTAGCACTCTGGGAGGCCGAGGC